ATTTAAGAGATTCTAAACAGGATCCACCCTGTGGGTCTGAGCCTTGCCTTGCCGTCCAGACATACAGGCTGGATCCAGAGCTAACTCCAGTCCTGAGGATGAGAACTAGGGCTGCAGCGACTTTTTTTATTTGTAAGGGGCAGGCAGAATGAAAGAAGTCAGCAAAGGAGATGAATAAGAAAAAAAAGATCAAGAAAATCAAAAGGAAGGATGGGGTGACAAAGACTAACTTACTCATGAAGAGTAAGTAAAGGGTGAGTAGCTTAAGAGATGAAAGTATTAGCTATTTCTGAAAGTTTGGACATTGGTCTGCAGAACAAAATCTATTTCTGTGACCCACCTGGTGGAGGCAGAAGCCAGAATACAGACACATAGATTTCTTACAGAAAAGTGATAGGGAGATGAAGAGGCAATAGAGATAGCCTACTCTTTCCAGAAGCTGACCATGAAAGGGAAGAGGGATGACCTGAAAAGCAGTGTCCATGTGCAGGACATACACAGAGCCAGTGCCTGCCTATGGGAGCTCAAGGGAGTGAAGGTGGTAGCTTGAGGGAAAGGGAAGGTTCTTTTAAATGTCAGAAATTTGATCATGTTTATAGCCTGAGGAATGGAAGCTGATGGTGAGGAAGAGATAAAATGCCTGTCAGAATGGATGATTGATGCTTCTACTCTAGCACAGAACTTGGTAGAGAGTAAGCATCATTCCAAGTTACCAGCTTGAGGGAGAAAAAGAAGAACAAAGTCCAAGGCAACTGGGAGTCAGGGAGTTAGCTTGAAGAAGGCACATCAGGCTGTGTAGGATGAAGGGGAAGAACCCAAAGACCCCAGACATCAGTGACAGGAAAGTAGATTGGGTGAGAGTGATCCAAAAACAAATTCAGAAAGCATTGTGCCCATTTACTGTGGCTTTTATGTGCAACCCAGAAGCCCACTGGGCTGGGGGAACAGTTCTTAAAGGTGAAACCACCCGACAGAAAAGAGCTATATGTACCTATCTTAACCTCAAAAAGGAGTGTGGGCTTGTTTTCACTCAGATATGGCTTACATGATATGAATGTGAGCCAGTTCTAAGAAACTTTGCAGTAGAAAGGATATGATTAGATGGATTTGAAAACTTTGTTTAACTTTTCTGTAAATGTGAGGGAAGATTATTAGAGAAGAGGGAAATTGGATTAAGTTCAGGGCTTGAGAATAGAAATGATTTGGGGCAGTCCCTGAAAGGAATCAGGGAAATAAATACAAGTTTTGCCATATATTATTGGAAGATCCTCTGTAATTAGATAGTGTATATTTGTATGGAAACCAATTGGTATTATAAGTGGTTTTACCAGGAATTCTGAGAGCTTGGGGAATGGAAACCTAGGCAAAAAGCTTTGAGGTTTGTCATGACTAGAGTGGTAAACTCAGTGAACTTTAAGTTTAGAAGCAGGGATGAGTTGGGTAGGAACTCTCTAGTGCAGATATGGTACAATTGAAATGCCTAACTTCAAGAGAGAATGGATAAGAAGGCAAACATTGTTTAAAGGAGGTTGATAAACTAGAGAAATGGGGAGTATTAAGTAACTAGTGGGCTTAGAAAAAGAAATCAAAGATGATTTGAGTGAACCAGTGTGAGAGTTAAAAGGTCAGAGGATTGTGTCCAGAAGGAAGAATTTTCAGAGTTGAAGATTCTAGAAGCTGAGCAAATGCCTTCTGCATCAAGCTGAGGCTGGGTTGTGACCATGACATCGAGGAGTTGAAGTGAAACAATTCCAAAGACCTGAGGTTATGAGTTGTGAAACATCATAGATGTGGGCTGGAAAGAGTGACTCACAAGGATATTGAAGCTACTGAGGAGACAGAATGCACCCAAAGTAGGTAGAGAAATTGTTGATCAAAAGACAAAAATGTTAAGTGAAATGGGATTTTGTTTGGGCCACTAATATTTGGGGAGAATGTAATATAACCAAATAGTGCTGTCTTCCAAAAGTTGAGCATTGATGGTAGACAATCAGTGGGACAGAGAGTGATCTGGAAGCAGTCTTGACACAGGGAGAAAAATGATCTGTACATCAGGCTGTTTGAAGCAGAGTGGTCTCTATGAGAGATGATTAGTGAAGATATGTCACATGATGCAAAGCCAGGATTCGATTTATGCTGCAAGGGTAGTAGCTACTGAGAACGTTAGGTAGTTAACTCCTACCAAGACCCATATGTTAGAAGCCACAGAGCATAATAGTGGCTAGACACCCTGCTGATGTGGTGGAGTAGAGAGGAAAGTGGAGCTGGAGCATGGCAACTTTGCTGAAGGCTGTTTGGGAACTAGCATGTGCTTGTTAATGGCACTGAGGAAGAGAGGAGAATGAAAGGCAGAGGCATATGCTAGCAGATGTGAGCTAAGAGCGCAAGTGACAGTGTTGTTATCAGTGAACTCTGAAGTGAAACTGCCCCAGGTTTCTAATTACAGCTCTGTTGTATCCAACTGGAGTGTCTGCATGAAATGTTAGTGTGACCAATTGAAACTCTGGCATGGCCACTTGGAAGGGGTGGTCATTGGAATTTTAGTGTGACCAATTAGAAAATTTTCCTCATAAGCTGGAACATTGGTGTGACCAATTATAAACTGTCATTTAAAACAAAGGGATTTTGGTAGTAGTGGCAGTAGATTCCTAGATTTCAAGAGAGATACATTCTAAAATATTTTGAATCCCACCAAAATACTATGGCGACCAGATAAACTGTGTGATTATCCTCTTACGGTACTTGACTGCTTACCAGGGGCTGTGTTTTACTCTGTCTCAGGCCTAAGCCTTGGCAGCTGGTAAATATTTTTAAAACATATTTTTTGAATAAACCATTGACGTCTCCTAGAAGAATACTTTCTCAGTTCTCGTACTCTAAAGCAAGCGCTATTATCTTATGGCCTTTGATTTGTAAAGCTGCTCCCCTCCCCCTAAGCACTGGTGGTTGAGGGGTTCACATGCACTTAACAGCCCCTCTTTGGCTGCATGTGGAACTTTGTAGTACAGCTTTTATACCAACTACAACTCTGGCTACAACTTAACTCTTTTCATTTTTGTGATTTATGTTTTAACTCAAAATGTCTATTTTGCAAATTGCCATATGTCATTTTGGGGACAAGGCATGTAGATGAAAGGAAGGAGAGATAGACCTAGAGAGGTTGTTGGGGAGAAGGAGGTGAGAGTGAGTAGAGAATTGCACTTGAAGATATTTAAAACAGAGATTCCATCTTCACTCAGAGAAGAATTATGCAGGGCCTTTTATGGCCTGTGAAGCCTTTGAATCAGGCCCTAGTAGATAACATGTGCCCAATAAAATCTTCACCTTCTGAGAGAAGATTTTCTGGAGTCAATATTTGTTGACTGCTTTTTTTTTCAGCATGTATTTTTTTATTTCCCTTAAAATTCTTGGATGGCTTCTGTTTGGGAACAAATGCAAAACAGAGCCTGAAATGAGTGTTTGAGTCAAACAAACCTTGGTTTGAAAAATGAGTCTGCTATTGATTGTATGGATCTTACTGTTTCCTCTTCTGTCAAATCACTGGGAGGGTTTGTTGGGATGGTTTATGAACTAGTCGTCAGTGTCTGGCAGAGAGGAAGCACTGGGTGGATCTATCTCCCTACCTCTCTTACGTTGGACATGTGTCCAGCTGACCCTCATGCCCAGGCAGTCTGCAGTTCTGGTGGCAGCGTTGCTACCTCCGCCCTGTGCATCACCAGCAAGCCTGGCTGGCCCAGGCAGAGCTGGCCTCCTCCTTCCAGTGCTCAGTGAGCTTTTGTCTCCTAGATTCCTATCCTCTCCAACTGGCAGATATGTACAGTCAGTAGCCTGGGTCTCTTTAGTATTAAGAGCTTTTGGTCTAGGGACCTGTTAGCCCAAGTTAAAATCTCTCTGTTCTGTGTGAGTTGGTTATAATCTAAGGACAGTGCAGAATGTGTGAAGTCAGAGCTTTTGGGTCAGAATGTTGAGGTCACTATTAGCTGAACTAGGGTTGGGATGCCCAACACACTACAAAATGTTGGGTCATGGTGAGCTAGTGTGTTTTCCATATAATAATTTGAGTTATTATTGCTGCCCTAGTTACCATGTTAATTTCTTCTTTCTGGCACCTATATACCCACTGTCTAGCATATGCCAGAATTTTGGTCCTCTTGGGTCATTGTTTTAGATAAACACGTCTGTGGTCTTTCAGAAACGCTCCAGGTTTTTTAAGCCCGTCATTATTCCTGGTAGTTCGTGCCTGTGTTTTACTTGTCATTTTTGGGGTTTTGCTTTATTTATTCTTATTGAATGTAGGTGTTAATGGCAGGTTGTTGTTGATTTCAGTTCCACTGATGGTAGAGCTTTTGATAACCTCCCCTGGTCTGTCTTCACAATAAGGAAAGAACAGTCTCCTTACTTACATCTTCTAGTGGCCAAATTGTAATTTTGTGCTGTCCAGGAAGGATCTCTCACCTAATACGATTCTAATGTAGTCACCAACAAATACTCATTGAGCATTTAGCTCCCTCCTAAGTTCTGTATAGTGAGATCTTACAAGATGTGTGAAGACTGGACTGAATACTGAGCTCAGGAAGTGACATACAAACTCTGGTTTAAAAAAGTATATTGCTGAAATAATCTTTTATTCTTGGTTATTTTAACAAAGAGGGCCTGCTTGTTTTTTCTTAAAAAAAAAAAAAAAGGAAAAATTTAGTTTTGGAAAGAGTGTTCTTTTTTCTCTATTTGGAAATAATGAATTATGGTTTCTATAGGTAAACATCTTTTGAGAACTGTAGCTCCTATCATCTCTCAGTGTGTAGGTTGTAAGCAGGGGCTGTGCTTTCCCCAAATGACCCAGTATCTGCTTGTCCCTACTCAGCCCATGGCTCACAAGCAGCTCCTCATTTCTGTGTTGTCTAACACACAACTCAGAGATTGCCTTATGTGCTATGGAGAAAGCTACTGTTATCTTTGTTGTCACGGAGGCATATGATTTTGAGATCTGGTTTTGCTTTCAGGAGCTGCTAAGTCGTACATCTCTTGAGACCCAGAAGCTCGATCTGATAACTGAAGTGTCTGAACTGAAACTCAAACTGGTTGGCATGGAAAAGGAGCAGAGAGAGCAGGAGGAGAAGCAGAGAAAAGCAGAGGTGAGTGTGAAACACCAGATTCCAGGGGCACAAGTATTGTCCTAAATTCAGACTGGGGACATTATCACAATGTGAATTGAGGCCATCTGGTCAACCCCAAGCTGGATACATAATGATCTGTTAATACCAAGTTATCAGGTTTTGCTGTGGCTGCAGACTTCAGCAATGCCCAAACCACCAGTATTGGCGCGAAGGCTTTATCCTTCCTCAGGCTGCTGACAAGGTTGGAAAGAGAAGTTGTAGTGGGGGAAGGGTCAGACAGAATGCAGAGGGACAAGATATCTTCTGTGAAAGCCAACATGGTGACCATGCACTGGGGGGAACTCCGTTGCCTCATAGGCCATCACTGTATCCAAAGAGTTTGGAGATATTCTCTGACCCAGATGGAACCCTTAGACTATGTGTTTCTTTTCTCCTGAGAGGTCATATGGGTGAACCCATGCACTGGCCTTCTCCTGGTGAATGTTTTCATATTTGTTTGCTCCACTCTCTAAATGGCATTGGCTAGAGTATGCTAGATTCCTCCTTCTTTTTGCATAAATGCCTAGAGAAATTTAGTGTCAGAGCTCTTTTATTTGATGGAGAATGGACTGAGTGGTTGAGATGGCCATATTCTGTGTGGCTTTACCTAAACATCCTTCTAATCACAAAGAACAGTGTGAGATATAGAAAAACATAGGCTTCACATCTAGAAACACTTTGGCTCAATTACTGATTTAACTGCTTAGTAGATTTATGAACTTTAGCAAGTGAGCTACTTAATCACTCTGAACCTCAATTTCTTTATTTGTACAATGGGTAACTATGTGGTAAAGTCTGAATGAAATCATGGAAGTTAAGTCTCTATCATAGTAACTGGCCTTTTGTAGGTACTTGCTTTGTCTTCTTGCCCTACCTAAACAGCTCTAAAATCTAAGACTGGCTGTTGTTACTGTCTATTAACTTCCAGTGTCATCGTGTGTTGAAAACTGTCTGATTTCTGTGTTTGCTGGGTTAACACTAGTGTCTGTGCTGATCATATTCCTTAAATAGCTTTATAAGAGCATTCACATTACTAAAAAGTATCCTTGGCAAAAAGTTATCTCCATGAGGCTGAGGACAGTATGGGTTAATGACTAAGAGTGCAAACACATGAATCAGATCTCCCCTAACCCATGCTCAGCTACTCACTAGCTTTATGCTTTTGGGCAAGTAATTTCACCTCTGGTGTTCTGTTTCTTTTTCAATAAAGTTGAGATGGTGATAGTTTCTATTGCCTGGGTTCTGAGCAGTAATAAGACAATGTATGTCTTGCATAGTGCTAGACACCTAATAATAGCTAGCTTTGATCAACCACTTATTTTGTTGAGCACACTGCAAATGGAAATGCCCTTAGATACATACTGAGAGGTCATTAGACTGTAAGCTTCTCTGTGTGAAGCATTCCTTGAATGCAGTCTGTTTCTTAACTGTTCAGAGAAAAGATATTGAATTTTCTTCTGGTTTAGAGTTATTTTGCCAATCTTTCCAGACATGTAATTCTAAGAATATGTACAGTATATTTGGGGGTAGAATGCAGGAGGCTGTGAAAAGGCATGAAATGGCAGAAACTCAACTCAAAGCCACTTAAATAAAAACAAAGTTTAGGTGGAGATAGTTATTAAATCACCACTTGATGAGTAGGCTGCTAAAAGAATTTAATATCACTAGATACACACAATGTCATTAGAAGTCAGCCTCCGTGTCTCACTGGCTCTATTTTAGCCTTGTCCTCAGAAAGGTTCTCCCACGTGGCTATAGAGAATGGTTATCAGCAGCTTTAGTTTTGACTAGAGGGGCCTGGCCACCCCTTCAGAGGGAGAAGGAGGGGATGAGAGAGAGAGTGATTCTCTTTCTCAGAATTTCCAGGTTTCAGCAGAGACCCCAGAACTGTTTCTCATTGGGCAGTCTGAGTTCCAAGCCTGGTTCCGAACCAGTCCCAGTAGGTGGGACTGATCAGGGGTGAGTGTGTGTCGGCTCCTTCTGTGGGAGAATGCCGTGCTCCTACCTGGCCAGCATTCAGTGCCTTGCTAGGGAAGGTAGGAAGGAAGGCACCCACTCTGGGCCAAGTGTAAATAAGACAGCCCTTTTACTGTTCTCTGTCTCTCTGTCTCTCTCTCTCTCTCAGCTATTCCTGCATGAGGCCACATAGACCCTGTGCTGCTAGCCTCAACCCTGCCAGATAACAACCCTTCCCAGTTGTAAATGCAAACATTAGGCTTCTGTGTGGAGGAATTTTCTAGGCTGTTCAAACTTGTGATAATCAGTGAGCAACCGCATGACCTGAAACAGACACTCCTTGCCATTGAGCATAACCTTTCCTGGGACACTTGGCACCTCCAGCACTATTTGTGCATGTCTGAGTGTCATGGGGAACGCTGCTTGGGCTGCCCTGTGGTTGTGCTCTCGGAGATGCTTGTTTTGTGTGAGACATTTGGTTAGCTGCGGTCCAGGTAGGTGAGCAAAGGGCACAGCACATCCCATCCCACACCACCGTGCTGGCTCCAGTGATCATATTTAGTCTAAGGTCTGATTGCCTGTGGTTTTGAAAAGGCAGGACTGGGCTGTTGGTTTTTGTTTTTTGTTATCTTTTTGAGGTAGCCAGATCTGGAATAAACTTCCATGTAACTTGGCCTTCTCCTCACATATCATTTTATGTTTCAATGCAAATAAGATGCTGTTAACGAGATACTGCAGACTGCTTTTCTCTCTGGCTCTTATCTCTCCCCTCTGCTACTCTCATGTTCCTTGTAGTGAATGAATCATGGACCCCATGACAGCTGGCTTTCTGTAAAGCCCGAGATTTTGAAGTGCAGGTTTCTTGACAAGTGGAGAAAGCCCTAACAGTCAAATGGGAAGCAGACTCTTACTGAGCCAGGAGCCAGCCAGCAGAGCAGCTCAGAGGGAAGACCCTCTTCCTGTTGACTTTACCAATTCTTGTCAGCTTTTTGCATTGGTTCTAGAAGTAACAGGAAACCCAAAATTGGATCAACTAGACTTATTCTTGAAAAGAAGGACTTGCAGAAGAGTGATTGACAGCAAGAGGAGGAGTCAGAACTGAGAGACTAGAACATGAAAGATCCAGAGACAAAAAGAAACCTCTGGTGGAACCCAGATCAAAGACATGTCTCTTTGGAGGGATCTCCCCTAGGGAAAGGGAGACTTTTCTCCTTAATTTCTGAGGATCCAAAGCTTTATTGGTATAGCACAAGAAAGGCCGTAAAGAGAGGGAACAGAGACCCCAAATGTGTTGGGAAGCAAGTAAGCCCAGGTGGTAAGGGATACAATGAGCATGAAGAAAACCAGAAGGAATCTCTAGCATTTCCAGGTAGAAAATTGTATGTGTTTCAGCACTGGGGGTGGTGTCAGCTCTTCTTCCTTCTTTTGGTTGGGACCTTGAGAGGAAGGATCATGATTCCTGACTTGGGGCCATCTGATGATGGCTTTGGAGAGCAAGCAAGGGCTGAGAAGCTTGTGCTTGCTCAGAGGAGAACTAGCCTACAGAGTTTTGTTATTTTTGCTTTTATTTTATTTCATCCTATTTACTTATCTTATTAGCACAAAAAAATACTTGTCAATAATTCAAAATGTAAGAGTTGAAAAGGGGATATACAGCAAAAAACCTCTTTCTGTGCCTCTCCTCCAATCAGCAGTCAATAAATAATGTTGTCAATTTGTTTATTATCCTTCTAGAGTTATCTTCTGCCAGAACAAGCAAATTTATATGTGCGTGCACACTCACACTCCTCATTTTTAGTCAAATACACACCCTTCTAGACTAGCTTTTTGTTAGCAGTCTTGGATATCATTTCATACTAAGTATTGAAAAAGTTCTGACTCATTTATGTCTGTGTATTATTCCACTATCTGAGTATGCCATGATTTATTTAACCACTCCTCTTTTAATGGGCGTTTAAGTTGTGTCTAAGTGTTTCCTATTACAATCATCTTGTTTGTGAATCATTTGTTCATATATGAGGATTCTGAAGTGGCGTTTGTAGGTCAAAGGGTACGTGCACTTGAGATTTTGACAGATACTTCTAGATTGCCCTCTAGAACCTAAGGTTACACTCCCACTGGCGTGTGAGTGCATCCAGGACAGTATTAAACTGAGCATGAAAGGAGAAGGGAGAGAAAGAACTGAGACTGTGAAGAAGTTTAATAGGTAGGCTGAGATGAAAAGACCATGATGATGCGGGGGGAGGGTGCCAGTAGTTTCATAGAAAAGAACCATAAAAACAAATAAACCAGGCCCTCCCTGGTGGCGCAGCGGGTTAAAGCACAGCACTGAGAATCTAAAGCAGCTTCCTTATGAGTTCGATTCCCGCCTGCCCCGGAGGAGACCACATGGCGCAGCAGACCTCTCCTGACCCGCCTGCTGCTCCCCTCAGCAGTGTATTTCGTTGATCTGCCTGTTCTGCACTCCACTCTGCCTCTGGTGAATTCTCTCATCCTTCACATCTCTGGCCTGTATCCCAGTTCTGTATGCACAAATAAAATAAAATCTTAAAAAAAAATAAACCAGTTGGATGGTTAATGGAGCAGGAGTAATAAACAAAGGCAGTTGAGATTACATGACTGACAACTGGGGCATCTTAAATACTCCCTGGATTCATGATGTGGGACTCAAAAATAGAGCACGCCATCCAAGGACTGACCTCTGGAGAGAAGTAGCCCTGCTCAAGAGGAAATGGGTAACCTTAGTGGTGGAGAATGAGGCAAGAGAAAGCCAGGCCTGAGGATGGACACACTGGAAGACACCAACCACATGTGGGCAGGGGAACCGGGGGTTCCTCCAGAAGGGCTGGGGGCACCCCATGCTCACAGAGCAGAGGAGGAAGTTAGATGGGCAGATCCAGCCCCACACACTGGCTGAGGCAGCTGAGGGCTGCGGTTTGGAGGACTCCTGAAAATCCTTCCCAATAAACACAAGAGTTTGAAAGGTCAGTTGTACTTTCCCCCCTCCAAGTTGTTTACTTTCT